CTGCCTTGGTTGCTTTGGAAAGCAGTATCGGGGTATGATGTTCCACTAAATGACAAGATGGTGTCAGCAGTAGCCAGTCATCCATGTAATGGTGTGTGCACAGGCCCAGGGAATGAAGGTGACAAGAAAAAGTTTGTACGATTCAGCAGAACACATATGGTGCCGATGCTAGTCCGAAGGAAAGAGCTGACCCTTGTGCACAAAACACACCACTATGGGAACATGCAGATAGGCACCAGTAACATCGAACTTGGTCATCCACAGTTGTGGCAAAAAATGACAATGCAGAGTAAGAAATGACTCCATTGAGAACTTTGGAGGATCTAGGAATTGATGTAGACAAAAAAGATCGATGACCAGATGCCAATCTTCCATCTTCTTGGGCACAACAAACATACAGGATATAAAACCCTGGAAGAACTGAAATGACTCTCTCCATTGCCCTCTTGAACAATAAATCTCTGAGAGCCATGGAATGAAGTTCTGAAATCTAAGGATATGCAGGAGTCAGAAACACTACAGGTTGGGGGGATAGTGGTAGTGATGATGTGAACTGAATGACTAATCCTAATGCAAGAACCTGTAGTACCCATGGATCCATGGTAAAGTCCAGAAATTCTTGGAGCCAAGCCCCTGCAGACCCCAAAGGCATACGGTAGTCACTGCCTCTGCTGGCGGCAGAATGCCCGAGCGGAGGAAGCTTGTGGATATGGGTGGAATCTATTCTAGGATCCCCCCAAAATGCAGTCCCAGAGCCCCTCCCCAGAGAAACACCATCAGACCAAATGTATGTCTTTATCTCACTATGGATAAGGTCACAGACAGCCTCATCCGAGAGCAACCCCACCCCAGACTCTTGAGTAAGGATAGATATCATAGGTGGGATAGGAGAGATCTGATTTGTCTCAGAGCTGAACACATTAATCCAGGAGTTCATGCTGTATATTGGCTTGCCAAACAATTTTTGTTTTTTTGTGCGAAAATAAATAGGCAACATGAAGAACATTAAAAATATCTCCAATGGTCGTACTACAGTGAAACCCATTAGTGAACGCTTTTTCGAGAAAAAGTGACAATATTATCTGAAGGAGGTGCTTATATACAGTACCAGGATAGAGGGTGCATTGAGGAAGGTGAAGAGTGTCACGAGATAGATTTTGCCACAGGCAATTAAGTGGGGAATCAAAGACTGGAACAAGCAAGAAAAAATCAGACAAATGATTAGGTAGGCAAAGGAAAAGAAACTCTAACAGTCAAGTCATACCTGTAGTGTGAGCGCAGGTAAGTATGCTTTGAAAATGGCATTTTATGTATAGTTAGATTTCCATACTAATTTTTTTTTAGTTTCAGATAAATGTCTCTGTAAACACTGCTTAAGCATAATACACAGACTGTCAACGAACCTTCATGTTTTGGTGCTGCAACTCCATTCTTATCCACACAAAAAATTTAAATATGAGGCAAACAACTTTTATTCCACTCTATACTAAGTAAAAAGTTTTAGTATAAAACCAAACGAGCTGTTAGGTGTATATGTGTTTATATCAATTGAAATAGTAACAAAAAACTAACAAGAATCCTCTTTTATGTTCTATGTTACTAAACTTGATCTGCAATGTTATAAAATAATACTTATGAAACAATTTGTTTTAGGTATAATTTATTTTCTGAAAAAAAAAAAGATTTCACAATATTTAGGCCAAAAAATAATTCTCACCACTTTAACTGCATATAACATCTTCACAAAACTACAACCCACTTAAATATTAAAAACATTTTCAAAATATTTAAATGCACTAATAAAAACATTGTTACAATGGGCTATAAAATCATTCTAAGCTATTTAAATGCAAACAATACTATAGAATCAGCTAGATTTTTAAAATCAAGGCTTACAGTTAAGTTTCTTGCTCTACGATATGTTATTTTTGCATAACAGTGCACAACTAGAATATTACTTTCAAATTACTGATAATGTGAATGTTAAAAGAATGGTTTTTCCTTAGTTTATTTTTTTAATGTAAATAATAAAGTTGACAGCAAAAAAAAGAAGACCCAGGTAAGTAGTTTATTTCTTGTTTTTCAAATGTATGCTTTATTTGTTAATATAAAAGTAACTAAAATGTAAATATCAAAAACTTTTTAGGTTAGATTAGGTACAAAATAATAATAATAACAAAATTTTTCACGAGGTACACTCATGAGGAACTTTTGAGTAGCTTGTGCATTGTGTAATTTGATAGAGTAACACGAGCTGCACATTTGCCAAGTGATTTACAAATTTTATTGTGAGAATATCAGTTAGTCACAGTTCAAAGGGTAATAAACATTAAGTTTCAACAGGTGTATGCTATTATGAGCTTAAAACTATTTAGGATAAACAAATGTAGTTTCATGTTACAATATGAAGACATTCTAGAAAGAAAAAGAAGAAAAATTTAGATTTTTTCAATTTTTTTTGGTGGTTATGAGGTCTGTCAAATTGACACCTTGTATAGAGTTATGGTAGATAAAATAACAGAAAATATATATAAAGTTTTACTGAAAAAAAAGCATATGACATTTATTTTGGGGGTTTTAAAGATTACACAAATGAAATTTGAGATTTTTCAGATGAAGAAAAGTGTTTTTAATCTTAACATGAAAATCACTTTGCACTCAGTCAACACTTTAACCCCATATAGTCATGGAAAAGTTTTTAGTGAAAATACTTTACTAAATATTCAGATTTTTTTTTATCTACAAATGACTTGACAATTACTGAAAGCATGCAAAATTTTGTGACCATACATAAAACATATTAGAAGTTATAGTATGGAAACTATACAGGTCAATTTGGGGTCATGAACTAGGTCAGTTCAACCTAGCCCTTAGCGAGATAGTTAAAATGGAATCTGATTTTATTATAGTGTTTGATTTATAGGAATAATGTATTGTACTTTCAATTTAGAACCAATTACCAAAGTTAATAATTATATATATATATATGTGTGTGTGTGTGTGTTACAAGACAGATTTAACAGTAACTTACCTCAGCAGTCCACTGAGCAACTAAGTTTTCTGCTGCTTTTTCTAATTGGGCAAATCCATCTTCTTCCTGAGATCTCAAAGTCTGTGAGGATTCTAACTTTACACTATTTTGAACAGAGTTGTTGCCAAGGTCATTATGGGTAATGCCAGCAGGGAGTCTCAACTGCGAGTTCACTAAGTTCACACTGTTCCCAATACATGTAGCAATAACTGGGGATTCTGATACCTTTGTTTTTGTGACATCAGGAGAATGTCCACGTTCTATATTGTTACTTACAGATGGAGTATCACTTTTAGGTTTAAAATGTTCTGTGACTTTATTTTCCTGAACCATAGGTTCTACTTTATGTTTTCCTTCCACATTTTTCCCACTAGGTGATGAGGGTGATGGATGTCTTGGTACTTCTTTGCTATTGGTTTCTGATGACTTGGGCATGTCTTGCTTTGGCTGTAAAAAATCAATTAATGCTGTAAAACTAGCAAGTTTATAATGTTAAATACAAGTTTTTTTGACAAACCATTTTACTTATCTTTATACTGTTCTATTTTAAGAAGCAGAGGTGTCAATATTTTTACCTTTTGTAATATTACATAATTAATATACAACTACTGGAAACATTCAATAATACCTTGAGGCTGACCCATCCACTCAACTAAACTATTAAAAAAGCTCCAAAACTAGCCCTTATCCTCCAAATATTCATGAATCCTTTTAAACTCCCTTACAGTTACTGCTTCTACCACATCAAAAGATAACCCATTCCAAAGGCCAATTGTTTAGAAATAAAACTGTCCAAACTGAACATGATTCCAACCATGTCAAAATTTGTCCCCTAGTCTTACCATTTTCACCATAAGTATGAAAAAAGATGATGCATCAACACCATCAGTTCCCTTAACATTCTTAAACACCTCAATCAGATCCCCACTAACTCTTCTTTTTTCAAAAACAAAACAATTTCAAAAACCGTAACTCCTCTGAGCCCTTTCCAACAATTCAATGTCCTTCCTAAGGTAAGGACCCCAAGACTAAACTCCAATACAATGATATTATAACCTCTATAGACTTGTTCCATTTCATAGATACAACCAAAAATCATGTTTGCCCTACCGTTAGCAAAAGTACACTGCTTGGATGGCTTAAGAGATTGATCAACCAGAATACCATGATCGTTTTCTTTCATAACACTTTTAAGGCTATTTCCATCAAGATTATACTTATATTTTAAATTATGAAATTATAATAACTCACATGCATTGTCTTGCATTTATCATAATTAAATGCCATCTGCCATTTATTTGCCCAAATCACCACACTGTTTGCTGTTAAGCACAAAGCTGCAAAACAGGCTATCTATGCTATGCCCACTACGGGTATCAAAACCCAGTTTTTAGCATTATAGGCCTTTAAAGTTACCGCTAAACCACTGGGGGGGGGGGGCAACTCACCAAATGATCTAAATTATTTTGTAAAGCATCCTCTTCCTCAATATCATCACCAAATTTAAGTACTTTATTGACTATTCCTTCATCTAAGTCAGTGATGTAAATCAAAAAGAGCAAAAATCCTAGCAAAAAACCCTGAAGTACCACACTTGCAACATTAATCCAGTTTAATTGAACTACATAAGTAATAGCCCTCTACTTTCTTCCATGCAGCCACTTTTCTATCCAATGAGTCAACTTATCCCCCAAATATAGAGATCATTTTTTAACAAGCCTTCTATGTAGCATCTTGTCAAATGCTTCCTGAAAATCCAGATAAAAACAATGTTAAAATGAATATTACTTTGCATGATAGATAGGCAACATGTGAAAAGAAAAAACAGACATGAGAAAAAAATCGATCAAATCTACCAAACCCATACAGAAATTAATTATTGAAAATAACAGATAAAATATACTTTTTTAAGAAACATTTGATAACTATCTCGACATTATAAAGATTTTGCATTTCAAAATTTTCTGATGTATAAAAGTATTTTTAATGTTAAAATGAATATTACTTTGCATGATAGATAGGCAACATGTGAAAAAAAAAACAGACATGAGAAAAAAAAACAGACATGAGAAAAACATTGCTTTATAAACCTTAAGACTTATAAAAAAAATTAATATTTTGTTTATGAAAGCATT